ATTTAAAATGTATTTATTGTAACAGATCACTATTTATGTACATATGAAGGTGTCTGTGCACACGTGTCTGTGCAGTCTGAACACTCAGAGGCAATGTGTGTCGCTGTGAGGATGTCTATGAGAATACATGTTGAAAGGTGCATCTAAATCTGTATACACCCAAGCTGACAGACTGTATAAGGTTTAGGCAAACTTATCTACCAAGGTTTACGCTGTGAGAAATGCCTCTGCTAAAGATGGAACAGAGTGGAAGACTTCCATGGAATGAACAGACCTGTAGCAATGTGTCTTTTTTTTTCCTATACACATTTTCTCCACTAAAAGGGAATTAGCTGGTTAATTCCAGGCAACCAAACTCAAAACTGGTAAGGAAAGCTTAGGCTCAAGCTTCAACTTGCCTCAGACTGTCAGAACCTTTTTGGTATCTGAGAACAATGAATACTTCCGGTCCCCATGGGATTCATGGAATAGCCCATCAGCTTCAACTGTAAGTTCTGTGTCTACCTACGTGAAGCCCTATGTTATTTTAATATATATATGTATATGTATATATACGCGCACACACACACATATATATATATATATATAATTTTATAACCCATTCTGAGACTTTCTAAAACAAACAAACCCTCCCTTCCCCCTGCCCTTGGAAAGAAACAAATCAAAGGTAGAAAATAGGCACTGGGACATCCATATTTAAAGCCAATGTCATTAACTTAGGAGATTTATACAGCAAACTTGGGTGCACCTTCTGCCTTTAGTAAGGATTTTGTGGCCTTATCTGAAAACTAGAATGTCCTGTTGTTTTAGAGGTGACTTGGTCTTAACTAAACGTACAAAAGTATTAAGTTCTCCAGTCTTACAGGTAAACATCCGAACGTTACAGACATAACAGCTCTATCCCTTTTCTGTCTACCGTCTTTCACTCTCTCTTCCTGGGTAGACTAACAAGTCTGAATCACAAGGCATCAGCAGCAACAGCAACAAAAAATCAGCTCTGATCTGTTAGGATTCGGGACAGTTATCATCACAGTACCTGTGTCTGGGCTTTGGGGTCAACCTTGACCACACGTATCACCTCTTTTTCTCTACTTTTTCATATACTCCATTATTCTTCAACAACACTGGAACCCAGCCTGTTCTTCTTCTATGTTTAAAAATTCCTACTATACAACCTCCTGAAAAACAGAGTTCACCACAAAGGTATACTGTCATGACATTTCGGTAACGGTAATCAAAAAGACGCTTCTATAATTCTACCAGCATTTTTAGAAGTGGGAAAGTGTTCCCCCTGCACCCAGTAATGATATTTAAAAAAAATATGTTCAACTTTAATTTATTGGCATGACTAGGTGGGCACCCAGCACAGGTAAAGTAAAATGGGTGATCATCTAAAAGGTATTTATGACAACACTGTAAAGCAGTTATACTCCAATAAAGATGTAAAAAAATAAATAAATAAAAAATAAAAGGTACTTATATTTGGCTTTGAAATACATTGTTTGATTTACAAAAATGTATGTATGTGTATCAGATTTATTCCTAATTTTGATTTTATTTTAGCTAGTAATAAAAATTAGCTTGAATTTCCAAAGCCCATAATTGCCAAGAGCCTGCAGGAAAAGAGACACTGCAGAGGTGATGCCTTGATTTCTTCAAAGTGTCACATTGGTACCTTCATGCCTCATTCCCGCCTGTACTGTTAAGTGGTACAACCTACACACTACTTTACATTTTAGAAAAGGCTTTAAATATTGTGGACGAGTTTTTATTGTTGTTGCTGTTTTCTTTTTAAAAAGAAATATATTGGCTCTTTTTTTTAATAAAAATTTCTTGGAATGAAAGAATTATATCCCCAGGACCAAAATCACATTGAAAACAAAAGTAAGCAAGCCTATTTCCCTAAAGAAATAAAGAATTTTCCACTCAATAGCCTTTGGATTTCTGTTGCTTCGAGAATGTGAATTTTGGTTCAGAACTGTCCCTTCACACTGCCCCTTTCATTGCTGATGGCTGAGGCATGCCTGGAATTTTTCTTGGATTGAGGAAATGGATCCTCAATCCAACAGGTTAAATGTTGAGTCCAAAGAGTTATTTTTTTCTGAAATTATTAACTTAAAATAAGGTTTAAAAATGTTTGAGGAAACTTATTGGGTCAAATTCCATTACCTTCCAGTTTGCAGGGTTTTTTTTTTTTTTCTTTCAGCTTTTTAACAAACTGAAATTCTGTAGGGCTTAACTTTTCAATACACAGATATATAGATACACACATGTATTTATATATGTACGTAAATAATTTTTTAGAAGCAAGCACTTCTCTCTGGTATGGCATTATCTGGTATGAGACATTTATCAAAAGTCCCTAGCGGGAAGTTCTTGCCTTTTTTTACATTATGACATCTTCCTCTGGTCACCAGGAGCGCTGAGGGTGTATGTGACTACACCTGGTTTGACCAGGGTTGAAATCTCAGGCCACAAAGGCAGCCTTTTTCAGTTTAGACGTCTTCATAGGATGCCAGAGACCCAGATGCTGACATTAGCACGCCAAAGGATCACTAACCAAAGCAAGCAGGCTCGGTTCCTCAGTCCAATCTCTAGAAGAACAAGCATGTCCATTGGCCATGAGTCACAAGGATTCATTTAGAGATACCCAAGTTGAAATTCATTTTGATCCACCCATAGGAGAGTTCCCCTGCTGAAATATGCTCTTTTCTTGGTCATTTGACAAAGGAGACATGGAGAATGGGCAAGAGACAAAGTGACACAGGGCAAAGTCAAGGAACATCCCCAGATAGGATGAATTATAGAAGCCATGGAAAGTCGCCTTCTTTAGTGGCTACATGGCTGCTGCCCCTGCAAAGGGAGACCCACACAGTGGGAGGAAGGAGGTGGCATAATAGACAATGGGGTTCCCAAGGGCAGGACTCTGGGGTTCTCCCCAAACCCTGCCTTGTGTTTTCTCTCTAGGACTGAGACACCCGCACCCCCCAACACCGCTGCCTCACCCCAGTGCCGGCCGTGGCTGCACACAGGCTTGTCTAAACTAATTGGTCATTACCACCCTGAGGAAACCTGATCAACCCATTGCAGCAGGAGTTGGACTTCCCCTGTGAGAAGTCCCTTTGGTGGATCTACTTACTGAGGGGCATCTGGAACACCCTGATGGGACAGGGCGGTTCCTGGAGAACAGACCTCTGGGCTGGCCTCATCTCTGTAACTGGTGGGAATGGACCACTGAGCTTTCCCAGCAGTTAGAGAAGATGAACACTCCCTGGCCACGGCCCAGAACTGGTGGATGGACCTCACTCACCACCCTGATCATGGTTGAGACATAGAATAGAGAAGACTCAAAATACAAATAAAACTCATTCGTCCCATGGATCCACTTAGCAACAGGTTAACTGTTGAAATGCTTAAACTTGACTTTCAACCTTTCCCAGGAACTTTCACAGAAATCTGAATACTCTAAATCATCCACAGCAGCAAATATACTCTGGGATGGCATGAGAAATGAGCAAAGTTCTGAACTGAATACTTAAGAAATGAAGCACTTGACAAAAACAAGATGTGAATTTGAAGAGCAATAACTTTGGGTTATCACCAGTGTCAAGTTGAATCTATATATGTATTCATATATTATATATATCTCTTTCTTTAGAAATGCAACCTTTACAGCTGATTTTTAAAAAGCTAATAGAAAAGTAGAAACTGACAATTATTTTTACACATTTTCCCCCACCCCCCTGTTAGGATGTAGCAATCACGTGAAGACGAGGCTTGTCAATTCCTCTATAAATTCTTTGGTTCTGTGGCTTGGGAGAGGATGTGTCACCGAGACCCCTACCCTTGACCCTCACTCCCCTTCCCTCCCCTGATGATGAGACTCTGAACATAGAAGGAACCAAGACTAAGGACTACGCATAACATTCAAGTGACAATATTATTCCCCGCGCTCTGCCGAGCAGAGAGGAGAACTGCTCAGTATCCCAACATCTTAAACTTGGATTCCATGGAACCTTTTGAGAGATTCCATGTCGGGTAGAAAGCCATAAAACAAAATGATAGGGAAACAATAAAATCAAACAAATGACCCTTTCCTTTCGTGGCTCAGAAACAAAATTGATTACCTTTACACAGATCAATGGCGCTATTAGTATTTAAGCCAGGCAAGAGGAGATAATGAACTGAAACAAAGGTGTGAGAAATCCTCATCTTTGGTATTGTAGCTGTTGAGGTTTCTGTTGCTCTGTTCCGTGTTCTTTTGAAAAACTGCATAGGCACAAATTAAAGACAATCTTCAACTTTTAGATTACCGCATGAGTTGTCAAATGAAGCAGCAGCCACGGAGGCTTTTCCTTATTTCTCTTCCTGTCTCAACCCTTTCTTTAAAATCTGCTTCCAAAAAATGTCCCAAGAGGTCTGTTTGAACACAGTGTGTCTCGCTGTTTTTCTGTTTCTGGTTTTTGTTTTTTTTCTTTTTCCTTTTCTGGCGAGCTTCCTTCTCGTTGGTGGTGATTTTCGGTGATTTACGTTTTTATTTATTTATTCATTTTAATGGGACAGTTTTGTTTGTTGCAGAAGTAGGTGCAGAAAAAGTTTCTTTGGTTTCGATTAAGTAATTCATAAAAAAAGTCAGTCTCAAGTGTCTGTAAAGAATCATTGCAGTGTTTGGCTTGCTTTGAACACCCCCGTGGTGCCCACCTGGGGCCATTCACTGGTAAATATGCACATGGTGACCTTTGCAATCTCCCAGGGTTCTGTGGGTGCTCTTCCATTTGCCGTGGGAAGGTGACAGCCAGGAACCAGAAAGCCACTCGCTGGGTGGCTTGGCTAACATCCTTGGTGTAGCCGGTCCACTCAGCCCGATGATGAACCAAATGCAAGAGCTGAATGCCATTCGGAGTTGCAGAGGTTTTCTGACTTCTAAGAAGTAATCACAGTATTTTTCAGGCTAGAAAATGGCAAGTAATAAATGTCTTTGGTTTGCAGTATTCTGCTTCTTTGGTGTGCTGTGTTTTCTCCAGATTTATTCAGCTGTTTTGCTAGATGATTCAACAATGGAAGAGATTCAGGACTAGATGACGGTTATGAGTAACACGTATGGTGGTTTGAATTATTTATTTTTTCCTTGCTATGAAACACTGAAAACGTCCCTACCGATGGGATGGACAAGGGAACAACCCAAATCTGAAGGAGCGAGAATGTATCATGTGGTCATAATGCACAATAGGAGGAACCAGGTGACAGATAACCAAGAAGGATACATTTATGATCTAAAAAAATCTAGATCTTTTAAAATGCTGCATTTGCTCCGTGTACTGTAACAGTTAAATTGGCCTCCTGAGTGTGCGTATGCATTATGTACAAACAGAATTTGTAGCAAACTGCAAAATGTGCTTGAAGCCATATTCCCAATGATTCCCTCATGACTTCCTAACTGGTGTCTTGAAGATCGAGATGCGGTGAATCCAGAACCTTCCTGACTTCTCTATCTTCGTTGTGCTTGATACTTTGAGCTCAAGTGAACTGATCTGGTTTTTTTTTTTTTTGATGGATCCAAGACCACGTGAGATTTCCAGGAGGTAAGGAAAAGAAAATTGTAAACTGGATCAACTTAAAGCTTTCTAAACCATTCAATGAAAAAGATGCCTGAGTTGGAAAAACAGGTCCTCGTATTCTTTTTTTTAACTTCCATATTTAAAACTTGTGCTCAGTAATTGTCATTCTGATGTTTTTTTATGTTATGGCTGTGAACGTTGATGAACTATGGTATAATGAGGCTAAGCACTTGGAAAGCAAATGAGGTCATTCTTGTTGCTAGATTCTTCTCTTATTGTAGCATCTTGGGAACCCAAACTCAGAGTCCTTACACAGGCCAAAGTCCCACTATTACTCATGGGAACTTCGACTGCAAGAGGTTGACAGGACTCAGAGTAGGACCGCTGACATTCTAGGCAATGCTGAGCTTGACTGACGCCACACTGAAACTGACTTGCTGCAGAAAGGCCCCATTTGGGTTTCTGAGGTGCTTAGCATACTCGCTCAGAGGACAATGTCCGGTTCAAAGAGATTAGTTTTCAGCTTGCACTTGGACTCCATAGCCACTAAAAACCAACGAACAAAAAGAACACCTGGCCTATGATTACAGCTAGAATAGAATTTTCTTTTCAAGAGAATTGTGCTTTCAAATCACCAGTGAAGGGCCCCAGCTAAGAATCCAGCGTCTTTTTCCTTTGCATTTTCTTTTGGTATCTTTTGTCCTCATTTGGAGGTGACTTGTGCCCAACTGAGAGTCCTTCCATCACGCTTTGGTACAGGTGCCGGAGGCGGACGAGGGGCCCCCTGTGCTCAGATCGTCCTGCCACTTCTCCAGGCTGCGGCGCCGGGCATTCATGAAGAAGTTGCTGACGGTCGTAAGCTCCAGGCCCAGCTGCTGGGAAATGGTGATCTGCATCTCCTTGGATGGGCGTTTGTTCTCCTTGAAGATGGCGAAGAGCGTTCGGCGTTGGAGGTCGGTGAACACCAGGCGGGATTTCTTCTGGGAATTGTTCCTGTCTTTGTTTGGTTCTTGCTCTTTGCGTTTGCACGCTTGAAGGGGAAGAGAAGAAGGAGAGAGTCAGTGTGAGCGTGAGAACGTGATCCATTGAGAACACTGACAAAGTCAATGGGGATGGAAAGTCAAAGGGGATGTAAACCGTTAAACTTTATTGTGCAAATTGCCCAGCTGTCAATAACCAGCCTTCCCAGTTCATCTATGGGTGATGGAAAGCCTCGGTTAGTGGGGGAAGGGAGAAAGGAGAAAAGAGCAGGGCTGTTTACACAGTCTGGTTTTGAACCAAATGCTTTCTCTTTCACTCCCTACCCCCCACTGCCACCCCCTTAAAACTCTTTACCTGTGAAATCAGGCGCTCTGAAGGGATAAGTGACTTCCCCAGGGGGAAGCCTGGTTACTAAGTTCCTCTTTCATGGTCACCCTCTGGAATTGTTTACAGATGAGCCACAGTGACTTTCTGGAGTCAAAACTTAAAAGTGCGTAATTTCTCAGAATCAAAGCTTCCACCCTCGTGACTCAAAGAATTGTTAACAGAATGAAATTAGAAGTGACAGAGTGATGGTATCATCCCGACTCCAAATCCCCTTCTTCTAGACTTTTGAAAAATAAAAAAAATAAAATCAAACAGGGAGGGAAAGACTGTGAAAAAATTGGTTTAACCAGTTTTAATTTGGCTGGTCTGAAGTAAAGCCAGTACAAGAAGACCAGGGCTGAGGTTGGCAAAAGAGCCCAAATTTACAGTGGATTATTTTAGGGCCCTAGATGTGTCGATTAGTAGATGCAGAGTCTCTGATTCAGTAGATGGGTATCCACATCTGGGGTGCCATGTGCAGCCAGGACATTAATTTATGTGTCACTACCTCTGCCTTACCCTACAAGTTTCTAGAAGGCAGGGATCAGGTCTGTGTGATATTTCCGACTGGCTCTTTCTGGAGCTGCGGACATAAATGAACACTTGGGATGCTGATGACAAGTGGTGTCTTGACTCTTTCAGGAATTTGCACACTTCACAGACAGATTGGGTCTCAGAAAAGTAACTTTTAAGGGCTAAATAATATTGTGCATACAAATCACAAATTTAAACATGGGAACATGTGTTAAAATCCCTGGACAGAAACCACAGCTCATCCAGGGGTTCTGTGCCGCCTCAACAGAGCTAATCCAGGAAAGGCGAGGAGGGAGCAGAGGGCCGGCTTTGAGCATCCTTCCCTGGATCAAATCCTACTGGACATTCTGGCTCCAGGTTGAGAATTTCTTTGTACTCAACTGACACTCCCCTAAGGCTAGCAGTCGTCTGGAGTGCTGTTTGGAAGCCTTTTCATACTTCTCAAAGCCCTGATTTGTGAGTTTTGCTTCTGAGCTTTGGGTCAGGCCATTTTCTACTCTTTACATTCTGCAGGGAGCATTTGGTATAGTGGTGCCGCTGACTGCAGTTTGAGTATCAGGGGAACATCCTTCAGACTGATGGGTCTTCGGATTTAACCTAAGGACCAACACTCATAGCAAAGATATTCTGGAAGCTGAACTTCCCCCTACCCAACTGGCCATCCTCCCTGGTGGATGCTATCCGCCATGAAGGATCACTCCTGAAATAAGTGAAGAGCCATGATAAAAAGGGCAGGAACAGGAGAACCCTCAAAAAGGAACACTGTTGGGCTACGTCAGCTTTGCGGAACCCTCTCTTCCTGACTTCTCCTTCTCTCGTTTCTAAAAGTAAACGTATTACCTTTGAAAATTAAACACAACACACACATACACACCTATAAAAACAGTATGTTTCCATCCCAAACCCCATTCTCTTGGGAGGTTTGGACGTTTTCAGATAAGGGGCGCTTCCCCTGAAATGGGAACTCAGAGAGAAAGGGCTGAAACAGCTTACAGTCACCCTTCTCCCACAGGAATTTCCCGGTAATGATTTCTTCTTTGATTATCCCTGGGAGGATCTTACACTTCTGTTGGATTTTTGGATAGTTACCATAACCTCATCTGTAGACTTCCTCTCTCTAGTGCAATCCTCTACAACAGTGCTTCTAAAGTTCAAGGTGCACAGGGATCATTGGGAAGCTTGCTCAAATGCAGATTCTGAGGCAGTCAACCCAGGCGGGGCCCGAGAACCTGCATTTCTAACGAGCTCCCAGGTCATGCTGCTGCTGCTGGCCCATATGCCTCGGTTTGACTAGCGAGCATCTACCTGATTTCTAAAATCTCAGAGGAGCACCCTGATGGAATGGAATGTTCTGGAACCAGATGCCTGGATTCTCTCACCTGCGCTCCTTCACCTACAAGACTTGGGACCTCGGTAAATGACTTAACCTTTCAGTGCTCGTCTTCCTCACCTGCATAATGGAAATAAGGTGCTCACCTCTGTAGAGGCTTACGTGAGGCAAAGTGTGTGAATGCTCCCTCCCCACCTTCCCTCTGGCTGCATAACCCCAGTAATCCTGAGGACGATAAACAGCAGAATTATTCTCATTTTAAAATGAAATAAATGGAGACCTGAGGGTGTAAGCGATTGACCTGAGGTCACATTCCAAGTTGGCTGCAGACCCAGGGCAAGAATCCAGCCCTTGGGTCTGTCCATCTTTCTCCCCTATAGAAATGGCACCCCACGCCATTGGCACCTTAGAGGGACTCTATCTGCACGGCAGCCTCGGAGGTTCTACCCCCCCGAGATTCTGACTTTTACCTGGAGGGGCAGTGTTCTGGAATCTGGGGAGATATTGAATATAGTTCCCTGTGCGGTACAGTAGGTCCTTGTTCTTTATTTTATATACAGTAGTGTGCATATGTTAATCCCAAACTCCTAATTTCTTTCTCCCTCCCCATCCCCTGCTATCCCCTTTGGTAGCCATACGTTTGTTTCCTATGTCTGTGAGTCTATTTTTTGTTTGTAAATAAGTTCTTCTGTATCACTTTTTAGATTCCACATACAAGTGATATCATATATTTGTCTTTCTCTGTCTTACTTCACTTAATATGATAATCTCTAGGTCCATCCATGTTGCTGCAGATGGCATTATTTCATTCTTTTTATGGCTGAGTAGTATTCCATTGTGTGTGTGTGTGTGTGTGTGTGTGTGTGTGTGTACCACATCTTCTTTATCCATTAATCTGTCAATGGATATTTATGTTGCTTCCACGTCTTGGCTATGGTAAATAGTGCTGCTATGAACATTGGGGTGCATATATCTTTTCAAATTAAGAGTTTTCTCTGGATATATGCCCAGGAGTGGGGTTTCAGGGTCATATGGTAGCTCTATTTTTAGTTTAGTTTTTTTTTTTTAAGTTTTTGGCACGGGGGATCCTAGGTCTCCGACCAGGGATCAAACCCATACCCCCTGCATTGGAAGCGTGGAGTCTTAACCACTGGACTGCCAGGAAGTCCTATTTTTAGTTTTCTAAGGAACCTCCATACTGTTCTCCATAGTGGCTCCACCAATTTACATTCCCGGCAACAGTGTAGCAGGGTTCCCTTTTCTCCACACCCTCTCCAGCATTTATTATTTGTAGACTTTTTAATGATGGTCCTTCTGACTGGTGTGGTGGTGTATTTGCACTTTTAATAGGGAGTTTAGACAGTATTGATGCAGGTCCATGTTGGCCTGTCAGGTTATATTTGAAGATATATCTACATATAATTTAAGAAACAAATGTTAAAAGTTTAACGTTCAGCAACCTGCAGAGAGAGAACAGATCATCAGATCCTGTGTATGCCTTGCCAACAGCTCTCCAAAGACAACAGACTCTACGTCAACAAATGCAGAGCTGCAGCCTGTGGTCGGCCAACGTACAGCAAGTCCAAAAGCCCAAAATAATGAGGCTGCAGGTATATAACCTGCCCCAAGTCCTCACAGCTGACAGTTGCCACCTCATGATTCTTACAAAAGCAGTTGGTCAGGAGCTGAAGGAAAATACAAACAAGAGGGCAAACACCTGCTTTGAAAGTCTAAGAAAAAGTAGACGGATTGAATGATGTCTGGAAGCTGGCAGGAAGGTGGGAGCCTCAGAATTTCTCAGACAAGGTGTGGAGCTAGCTTTGCCCAGAGGCACAGTCAGAGTGTAAATGGTTTTGGTGTTAGAACATTACACGCTACAAATGCCCATTTCAAAACAGCTAGGGAAACGTCAAGTAGCTCCCTACGGCCCAGGAATGTGTGTTAGAAACCCAACAGACGGTGTTCATCAGTGGTGTGGATGGAGTGGGTTCCTGCCACTCACGATAAACTCTGCTCCAGGAGGGTGAGAGGTTAGCCCAGACTCCTGCAGGCACTGGGATCTGCTTCTCCTCCCTCTTCTAGGAAGGAAGCAGGGAGGGCGTACCATGGGGTGATGTGTGTGTTGCCTGATGGGAAGAGAGAGAAATCCCTCATTCTCCATCTTCCTTCCTCTTCGGGGGAAGTGGTCCCTGTGTGGGTCATGGAGGTTTGAGGGCTCATTTCTATTTCAAAGACAGGGAGAAATCATGTTTTTGCCCACAATGAGGCTACCTCCTGGGCCTACAGTGCCTTTTCCCTCCTTTTGGGGGCAGGAACAATATCAGCTCAGATGGAGAAGGCTGCCTGTCCCCCATGGACCAGGACCTGGAACTCGCAGGTATATACAGATAGAGGTATCTGTGATTAGTAACAGAGGTGATAGCTACTGCCTAAGTAGGGTCCTGGGTAGACAAAATTTTTAAACCACTGGGTTCCCAGGGTGAAATAATAAGAAGGGAAGCCCTGGTTCAAGGCACAAGCCCTCCCCGAGACCGTGAGATGCCAATTCACCTTTTCCCAGGTGGTCACCCTCAGAGGGTCAGAGACAAAAGTGCATCTCGAAGCATGCGCCACTTCCCTGGAGCTGATCTTCCTAAACCAGGAGAGAAAGAAGAACTTCTCTCTACCACTGGCCCTTTCTCTCTGCTCCGCACACGGTCAGGCTGCTCCTGGGCATTCTCAGGAGCCCAGCTGTCCTCGGGCGCCCAGGGGAACTGGCCATAGCGCTGTCCAGCGCCCGCACACGGACAGCACGAAGGCGCGCCCCGTCAGGCACGTGG